TATTTATCCCATAAATATTATAAAAATATTTATTAAAATATATACATTTATATAAATTTTTCTCTTTTCCTGAATTTTTCTTAAAATTTTCATTTTATTGTTTCACACGCTACCCTTATAAAAATATTAAACTAAGAATCATTGATAATTACTTATTTTCAGTATTAAAAATACTGGATAATAAGTAATTATCAATGATTCTTAGTATGATATTTCTATAAGGGTACTTAATTGAATTTAAATTGTACTTTGAAAATTTGCTTACCATTGCTGAGATTCGAATTTATTTTTTTATTAATTAATAATTAATAATAATTAATTTAATAATTTTAAATAATTACATTTATTTTTTTAATATATAATATTTGTAAATATATTGTTCATATATAATATTTGTAAATAGATATATTTACAAAATATTACTACAAATATTTATTTTTCGTTTACTATAAATATTGTATAAAATATTTAGTCTATATTTTAATAATATTTTCAATAAAGATTTTGATACTTTTTCGATCATGTATATAAAATATTTATATTATATTTATATAATATTTTTAAGAAATATAATTCAAAATAAATATTTATCATAAATATTGTGTGCTGTCTGAGAAACGCATTACTTTCTGTACACGAAAGAACCGTATTCGTACTTAAAGTTCCTGCACATTCGGAACTCAGGCTTCAATTTTTCGGCAGCCGTTTGGATTGGGATGCTAAAAGTTGCAAGCAGTTACACGATTCTGCTTGCAACTTAAATTAAAGAACGATCAAGATTTACGCAGTCTACAGCTTGATGTGTGCAATTAGATATACAGAACGATTAAATTATGTATTGGATGCATCGGGTTGTATCTGTTGCGAATAAAAAAACGCACCCACGATGCTTGTTTTCGTGCTGGATTGCTTGCTGGTTGGAAATATTCTATTCTGATTGGTCCGTCTTCAAAAATGCACCAATCAGAACAGAGTATTTCCATCCAGCAAGCAATTCTGCATGAAAACAAGCATCGTGTGCCGCTGGTTTTAGAGCCAGCGGCACATGATGAGTGCTTTCCAGTTGCGTACTAAAGATGCCCGATTCTGAATCGATTCGATTCTTTCCCCAAAAATAGGCTTATTCATGTTGTTTGTATTCTTCGCACTTTTCGTACTTAAAACCAAACAAAAGTATATTGGAATGTTTGGAAGAAGCAAAAGCAAGATAACTAACTCGATTGTTTCTCCCAAGCGTCTGATTAGGCGTCCATCTCTTTTTAAAAGCGAAAAGTATGAAACATGCAAGCAGCACGAACAACCTTTTTCCCTAAATTTGATAAGGAAAGAATCGAATCGATTAATGGCTCCTGCACACAGGACGCGGTAATGCTTGCCGTGCGGCGGAAGTCCGCGCGACAGCCAATCAATATGTTGTTTTTCCGTAAGAGCTAGAAGGTTATTACGGGAAGCAGCATATTGATTGGCTGTC